ACTCGAGTGTGAGTACAAGGAGCACCAGGCGAGGAAGTAGTTAAGGAGGGTGAGCAGTTCTCAACTGGGGTAGATTCCCGCCCCCCCAAGGGGATATTAGCAATGTCTGCAGACGTTTGGGTTGTCGTGACCAGGGGGGTGCTATTAGCATCTATTGGGTAGAGGCCAGGGATGCTGCTAAACATCTTACGATGTCCAGGACAGCCCCACAGCAAAGAATCATCCAGCACAAAATAGAAATCGTGCTGAGGTTGAGAAGCCCTGGAATATGTAGACGGTGTGGATGGAATCTAGGGTAATCGCCCCCCTCCAATCTGTCCAGTAATTCGGAAGGCCGTGGAGCTTAATCAGTGAAATGCCAGGAATATCCGGATTTCAAGGAGGATCACGCAGTAGGATACTCCAGTATGCAGATCTCAGAAATATGTCTTCAGTTCCAGACATTGTGGGCTACATTTTGGGACTCTGGCCATCCCTACTATAGCCAAAACTATAAGCCTGTTATTCTCCAAAAAGCAAATGTATAATATATGTTCCCACCACTTCCGCCTACTTCCATATAGAAGTTGGAGGGTGATTGCACCAATCTAGAGGCGGGATAGGGTGAGGTGGGGGTGGGAAGAGAAGAGCTGAAAACAAGCAGAGGGATGCACAGTGAGGATTCACCCAAAGGCCTCTCAAATTATCCCTGATATCTCTTCTAAAATTATTTTTAATATACTTTTTAATGCCTTCTGGGTGATGTACCAAACCCCAGAAAAGTCCTGGAGCTACAAAGACATTCATTTTCACCAGATTTAGCACACTCAGAGCCTGAGAATCAGATGGCTCTGAGGTCAACTCTGGCCTCTGCCTATTACCATCTGGGCATCAGGTAAGTTATCTCATCTTTCTGAGCCCCAGTTTCCTCATGCATAAAATGGGACAAATAACATCTTCACGGGACAGTTGTGAATATTACACAAGTGAAGGCAGGTACCACCACACACCACTCCTGGTACACGATGGTGCTCACTGAGTGGCAACTATTATTTATATGATTATCTCCCCATGGGATCTAAATATTACTAGCACATGGCATTGGGTTAGGCACTGAACAAGGAAATCACGACATCTTGAAACTTACAGTCTACGACAGAAATTAGCTCATCCTAATTATGGTTCTCTATTGTTAGTAATTAAAATAAATAAGTAGCTGCCAGTCAGTAGATACACATGGCCTCATTTAATTCTCTTACCACCCTAGGGAAGGAGGTATTATGAACTCGATTTATAGATGAAGAAACTGAGATGCAAATGCTAAGTGACTGGTCTGAGGTCACACAGTAGCTCCTCGTGGTAGAGGCAGAATTATGTCCCACGTGGGAAGGACACTACTGCCTTCCAGTTCCCTGCCAGTTCCCTCCTCAGCCTGAGGATCTGGGGAGAAAGGCCGCTGTGCATGAGACATTTGGGTGCCTGCCTGCCCACTCCTCCTTTTCAGGGAACACTGCCCTGCCCAGTGCCCTGTGAAGTGGACATGCCACATCTGTCACCATGTGTTCCTGTCCCCTGACAAGAGTTGATGGGACATTCTGGACTTACTCATTATAAAGCTGTTGGGAAACCTTCAACCTCCAACTGGTCAAAAAAATGAGCAGGCTCTATCAAGTTTCTCTCTTAGAAATCAGGAATTAGGATACTGAGAGATGCAGGCAGTTTCCAGCAGAGGCAGAAGTCAGGAATGTGAAATTTGTCCCCTTATAAAGGGTGGTGGGGTGGGTGCAGTGGCCACATAGCAGCTAAAGTTGTGCAGGAATGGAAGCTCATTGCGGGGCAGGGAAGTCAGTCCACAGAGCGAAGAATGGAGCAGATGTCCAGGGGAGGAAATACTTCTCAGGAGTGGCTCTGGGGACACTAGGGCCAGTCCCACCTCACATGAGACTCAGATGAACCACACGGTCCTGTCTTTGAATTTCCTGAAATTCCCATTGTGTTTTCACAACAAATCCCACTTTGCCCAAGCTAGCTCACGTGGTCTCTCCTCCCAGCATACAGATGGGCCTGGTTAGACCAGACCTTCCAAGCCTTTGGGGAAACACACTTAAAATCACATGACAGAGTCATGCTCGGTGGAAGAGACTAGTCATTAAGATAGAAGCTGACCTGAATTCTTTATAAATCTAAAACTATATATATATTTCATGCCCTGTGGATTAGAGAGCCCACTGGGAAAAATAGCCATGGAATTTTCTGGAAAATGCCACCTCGAAGTAGAGACAAGAGCACAGAGGGTGTGGCCCTGGAAATCTCCCACAGGGATGCCACACCAGAGGTGAATAAATACCATCCTGCTGGCAAGATTCTTTTGCTGGATGTCACTCTTTGTATCTCTTTTTCTTCTGCTTGCTCTGCACGATAATGAATTGGCCCTTGATCCTTGTGACTACGCGGCTGAGTTTTTACCACCGAAATATGAGCAGAAGAGATAAGTGCTACCTTGGGGCTGGTTTATCACTGTCCCCTTCCTGGCAGCTGCCATCTAGGCTACCCAGACAGTGATAATACACCAGGTGCTAACTCAGTGTGGCCCATGCATCAGCTGCTTGTTCTCGAAGCTTTTGTTACGCATCATCCACAACACGATAAAAAGCTTGTGCTAGAATGCAAATCACTAAACACGTTGTTTAGTTCAGCTGATATTTTTTTTTCCTAGTCAGGTGTTCTCAATGAAGGAAACAGTGCATTGATTTACACGCTGGTGCAAGCTCCCTGTCTTCTCAAGGAACAGCCCCCCTTTGAGGAGCACAAGAATGAACATGAATGCACCCAGGTTCCTGAATATATGAATGGAGCAGAGCTGCCTGTCAACCTAGAACACTGGCCCTGGGCTGTGATAAAAAAGAGAAACAAATGTCTCCTTGGAATGTGGCATTGCACTGAGATTTCTTTCTCGTGGCAATTTAGCTTTCCCTGAACTAAGTCAGCGGGGTTAAGCATCTCTACCTGGTGGGGCTGTGCTGAAGATTTCAAAAGGGATATGAGAGGCTACCCAGCCAGGACCCTGCGGGGCTCATTCAATACTGGCTGAATCACATGTGCAATGGTTTCTTTCTCTAACTGGTAAGAATTTGTTGTCTTGTCTGCTTAGGGCACTGGACTCAGGCTCCTAGGCCTGCAGAACAATGCATCCATTCAGATGTATTGAGTCCTTCTCTGTGCCTAGGACTGGGCCAGGCACAGTGGATGCAGCCCTGAGCAAGACTGATGGAGTCCCCACCCTTATGGGGTGCAAAAGCAAGTCACGCGGCCATGCCTGAATCTGGGTGCAGAAAGCCTGTGGGCTGGGGTGTTTAGAGCAAGAGCTGAGGTGAATGGAGGGACCCAGGTGCCTCCTGGCCTGCCATAGACACAAGAAGCTGCGTTGTCTGAATTCACAAAAGAGTTGGATTTTCCTGTAGAACTGTACAGCGGTTTTCATGGACAGTGGTTTTTCCTCAGCCTCATAGGGGAGAAACTTCATTTAAAGATTCTAAAATAATTTTTTAAAAATAAACTCATTTCTCAATTACAGTTGACATTCAATGTTGTTTTATATTAGTTCCAGGTGTGAGCATAGTGGTTAGACATTTACATAATTTACGAAGCGATCCCCCAGATTAGTCTAGTATCCACCTGGCACTACACATAGTGATTACCATATTATTGACTATATAAAATAATCCTGATTAAACTAAAAGGAAAGGATATTTTCCTACGTCTTAACTTGGAGGGATAAAGGTTTAATGCTCCCCCAAAGACCTGGAATTGTGGAAGGCATTCAGGCCTGACTGTTTCTTAGCTTAGTTACTCATTTGTCATCCCAGGAGGATGGAGTCCAGGCCAACTGTGGACTTTTTCCTCTTCATTTTCACTTGGATCATTTCCTCAGAATAGTATTACTGTATTTCCTTGGCTACTAACGATGATCTTGAAATTACCTTTTTTTTTTTAATCTTATAGCCAGACACATGCATGGCAATACTCTTCCAAGCCCAAGAACACTCAGTCATGCAATGTGATCATGGAATCATCTAAGAATGGCATAAATCTATTGATCAGATATACAGAGAAAAATGTACAATTTCAACTTCATTAGTATTAACATCAGTGCTGACATGCAATACCCGGGACCCACCAGTGAGCCAATTCACCAGCATGTGATGAGGACTAGGCCTGCAGGGACACACAAATACACCCCAGCTCCCACAGCTGAAAGGCGGGCCACACCATCCTACCAGCTCCTGTTTATTGTGGCTTCTACGGTGCCCATCCCTTTTGTGTCCATGACATTGAGAACCCAGGGTGTTGGGCCTGTGACCATTCTTACATCTGAGAACAGAAGGAGCAGAGAAAAGTTGGGCAACTCCAGGAAGTGTATGAGTGGCAGCCTGTGCTTTCTGGTAGACGCAGCCTAGGGAAATCAGCGTCAAAGCTTCATCTATCAGATGGAAGCAGTGCTCCCATGCTTGTGAAAGGAGCCAGGTGTATAGTAAAACGATTGTTAGCTCTGTTCACAGAACATATCCTTGCGGCTCCATTCTCCATCTCACCATGCACATGGGCAGGGCCGCCTCTGAAGACCCAGTGGGGTGAGGGTATTGCTGGTGGTGGTGGAGAAGGGGAGCGGGTCTGCAAGGGGGAAGCCTGTGGGCTGGGACCGCGAGGAGGGAGGTGGTCCACGTAGAAAGGCTCTGAGAATCAGGAGTCCTTGCGATCCTGGTTCCAACCCCCTCCAGCAAAGGAGAACCTGAAAGAAGCCTTCTGCACCCCTCCACCCCTAGAATCAGGCTGCGGGGTCACTGCTCCCCCTCGCAGGATCTGAAGACAGCTAATGCGGTGGGCGCTGGGGTGAGGCTGGGAGGGAGTTCTCGGAACTGTGTTGGAGCGAAGGCGTCGAGGACAGGAAGAATTAATCCAACGTGGGGACAGAGGAGTCCCTACGACGGAAAGGGAGAGGGACAGTGTACACTCAGCCTTTTCATCCCTCAGCAGGAAGATGGATGACTTTCGGGAGCGGTTGTCCCGGCGCCCCCAGCTCGCTATAGGGAGACGTCAGAGCGCTCCGGTCTGCTGTGGAGGAGCCCCCAGCCCCCCCTCGTCAGGGCTTTCTTATAAAATCGGGGCCTGGTGGAGGCTGCAGCAGTGGCGCGGGCGGCGGCGGCGGCACAGCTTCTCCGAGGTCCTGGTCCAGCGGTCACTCGTCCTCGGGGACGGAGCGCTCTCCACCCAGCCTCGCCGCGCGCTCCAAGGGCTTCCTTCCAGGACCATGCGCGGCCGCGAGCTGCCGCTGGTTCTGCTGGCGCTGGTCCTCTGCCAAGCGCCTCGGGGGCCGGCCGCCCCGGTGCCGGAGGCCAGAGAGACCGTGCTGGCCAAGATGTACCCGCGCGGCAACCACTGGGCGGTAGGTGAGTGTCCGGCGTGCACGAGTCCTCGGCGGGACCGGCCAGTCGCGGGGGGCCGCCTCCCCGTCTCTCAGCGTTCCTGAGGCCCGGATTTGGGGGCTGGGTTTGCTCTGACCTTTCTATCCAAACATGCCCGTTCTCCCCAAATCCGACCCCACCCTTCCCCGTCCTGGACAGCGGGCTGGGCCCTTGGTCCTGTCCCGCTCTCTTTCCTCTTCCCCGGGTGTACCCGAGCCGACGCGCAGCTCTCCAAAACACCCAACCCTACGCGAAGGAGATCACCTTCCCTGCGCACCTATCCGACACCTCCTTTTATTCTTTCCGTGAACAACTTCGGGAAGCGGGGGTCCCCGAGCGCGTCTCGAAGCCCTGGTCCAGCCCCACAGCCGCGACCCGGACCTGCGTGAACTCAGGCTGCGCCTTTGCGTCGGGCAAAGCCACAGGTGGGGGACCTGGGGCGCGCGCGCCCGCTCTGGGTTTCAAATCTGTTCAGTGAGCAGGGCGTGAATCCCACCTCTGTTTGTGGCTCTCCTGAATTTTCTCACTCCTTCTGCCTTTGCAGCGATCGTTTTTTCTCTGCCCTTCTACCCAACCCTTCTTTCCATCCAGCAGGCTTGGAGCCCTGGAATCACACCTGCTTTCCACGCTGACCCCGGGCTCTCTGTCCCCTGAGCCCCGTTTTTCTCCCCCTCTCTAGACCCGCGACCTCGTCCTCTCCCCTACCTCCTTTCCCTTGCGCTCTGCCAGCAAATCCTGCTCTCCAGGCACAGGCTTGGAGGTTCTCTCCACCGGGTCCCCGGGCCCCCAGCGGCGAGGGCAGGGTCGCGCACTCACAGCTTTCCTGCAGCTGGGAGGCAGGCAGCCGTCCGAAGCTCACCCAAAGTCACCCAAGGGCTCTCGGCCACCCCAAGCATAGCCTCTGGCTAATGCAAAACGTCCAATTTCCTCAGAAACCTCCCCATAAAACCAACTACAGCAACCCCAACATTTCCTGGGAAGCTGGTCGATCCCTAAAGAGATTTAAGGGTGGTGGTGATGGTGGTGTGTATTTTATTTCATCTATTTAGGAGTAGGAGACAATGTGTTGGAAAGATAATTGCTAATTCAATTATCAATCAAAAGGCAGATCCTCGTGTGAAGATGAGGATGAATCTATGGGAAGGGGGGAGGCTGGAACAGGTCCTCAGCATCTCTGTGTAGCATATGCTTCTGTCAGAGAATCTGAGAACTCCTGGTTGTGACAGAGTGGTTTTCATTGTCGCTGAAAGAGTCATTTGCCAAGTCTCTCAGCCTCAGGGATGAAAGTATTTGTGATCTCTGAGGGACAGGAGGAACACAGGGAGTCTGGTATGGAGAGGACAGGTTGGGATGGGTGAAGATAAAACAAACAAACAAACAAACAAACAAACAAACAACCCACTCTGGAGAGAAGGATACCTAGAAGATGTTAAAGAAGCCAAGTTTAGAGATGACACTGAAAAGGGCTTCTGGGAGCTTAGAACTAGTGGCTATGGTCCAGTCCAGCTACCAGCTGGTGGACTGGGAAGGTGAAATGAAACCTCGAGATTTCTAACTTCTTTTTGCTCATCCGTATTTTTTGCACTAAAAAGGCTTATTATTAGGTGACTCATGCAGGCCAAAAGGAGAAGGAGAGAGTTCACTGGGAAGCTAGGACCACGTTACTTCCTGTGCAAGCCAACCCTGATGGCTGTAGTTCCAGAGCACATCTGTCCCCAGGTAGTTAGGGTGTCTGGCATTTAATCATCCTTCCTGGAGGTACTTGGACTTTCCTACCCCAAAATGCATACAGACCAGTGGCAACCTTAAATTTTCTTATTTGCTCTCAAACACACTTTTTTGTTTTCTTTCCTTTTTCTCCCTTGGCTAGCTATGTAGAATTAAGGAAGAAGAAAGGAAAAAAAGAGGAGAAGGAGAAAATCACATTTGGTCCTAAAATGACATTGAGGTTGAGAAAAAGTTTGCTTTGGGCAGACATGCCTTCTGTGGGAATGTGAGCATTCATAAGCATGGAAAACACTGTTAGATTTTAAATTTAGCTTTCCAGTGTCCGAAGTAAATGCCTGCTGTCCTCAGTCACTGGCGACATGCAGTTTAGTTTTAATTATATCAAACTAAAGCTACATGTTGCTGTCCATGAGGAAGCTGTCAGCACAAATTTGCAGGTTTGTTAAGTGAACTGTTTCTCCCAGTTGAGAGAAGTGTGGTGTGGCAATGGAATACAAGTTAACAAATTGAAAACTTAACACGTTCTTCTCTGGCTTGATGTTCTTGGAAATGTTTTGTTTGTGTGATGAAAATATAGGTCAACACGCACACTGGTGGTGGCTCTAACTTTGATGTGAAGCGTGCCCTTGAATTCTGAAACACCAGTGTTCAGCAACAGAATGTTTTTACATTGTACTGCTGCCCCAGAAACTGTGAAATATAGTTTAAGTATCTGTTTAGCAAAACTGGCTCTTAGGAGAGCTCAACACTGTAGATCTTAATAGGTATTTTCCTAAGTTAGGGTAATCTCCAAGTTTTGAGGTCAAGAAAATTCATTTATGTTGCAAACCTGCCATGTTAGTGGTATTTTTTCAGTGATTAAAAGGACAAACCCTTTTTCCCTCCCCTCTGGGCACAGTTTTATTTTTTCAAGTGCCTGTCTTTTGTCTATGCTGAGTTCTCCGTTATTATGACATGGACAGATAACAAAAGATGATGGGAGAAAAGATGGAAGTGGGCGTATCATCCATGTTGCCATGGAGATGATTATTTGGGTGACAGTTGCCAGCTCAAAAGTGAAATAGGACCCAGGGAATGCGTGGTTCCCTGGGATGTTACAAATGGTGGGCTTTCCTTAATAACCAGTAATTGGATCTAGGGTTGGGGATCAGAACACTACCCACCCACCAAATATGCAAATATTAAAAATTCAGAAAAATATTGCAAGGGTCTGTGTTAAATCAGTCACAGAATGGGGGACTACTTCATCCTCCCATTTTAGAAAAGTCCACAAAATTATTCAGGCAAGACAAAAATGAAGCTTTTATTTGAAAACATCTCCATTTCCTCTCTGCTTCATTGGCAATGACACCTTTCTCCTTTCCAGCATCCTAATGAGATGATAGGTAATGATGGAAGGCAAGAGTGACCGAGGTCATTACCGGGAGCATCAGGTTCTAATCCTGCTTTTCCATCACCATGATTCAATTTCCTCCATGTAAATAAAGCCAAATGCCTTGCTACTTCCTGGGAAATTGTGCAACACAATCACTGTTATGGCTAAATGCAAGGTTATCTAGTGGATATCTGGGCACCAGCTTGACCAAGCAGATCAGTGAGGGGCCAGTTATTCAGGATTCCAACCCTTCAGTTGAGACAGTCCTCAATAGTCTTGAGTCGTAAGTGACTTGACAAGTGTTCACACTGCAATGCAGTAAAAGCTCCTTTTAAGGCTCCCCAATACTCACAGAATTAATTTTCTGAGTCACGTAATGAGTCATGATATGCTGATATAGGATTCCTATTTTGAAAAATATTAGAAAGCCTTTTGTGGACCTTATCTTTATTTCCAGACCCGAGAATGATTTCTAACGGCCCTATAGCCTTAGGAAGTTCAAAGACTTCACAGCAGTGTAATATAGTAGAGTCTGGACTATGAGCTGATTTTTAATACTAGAATCTTTGCTTGTGTGTGGGTGACCTTTAGCAAGTCTCATGTTCATCAAACTTACTACAGGGTGGATCAAATGAAACTATCTGCATTTAAACATCCTGTAAACTGTACATTGCAATACACAAGCAGCAATGAAGGCACGGTAAGGGCTTCTCTCGAAAGATAGAGCTACTGGGAAGGGGCCTCTTTCTATTTTGAGTGACTGAGGTCTGTGGAACTCACTGCCATGCTTCTAATGCCAGTCACCATTGGAGCCACAAAGAGCTCTTTCCTTGGAAACTTTAAATCAAAAGGACCATAGTTTTATTACTATTAGAAATTTGAAAATGCTATAAAAATCGATTGCAGAGAGATGGGGGAAAAAAATCAAATAAAGAAAGTAAGAAAGCTAATGTGAGCATATTTAAGCTATGGGCCCAAGTGAAGAATGCAGGCTGAGCTCTATCCCCACTTCTGATCCTATAGCTATCCCCACCTGCATACATGAATTTCCACGTTTTAGTGGTTTGGCCTCCTGTGCAGCAGCTTTAATTTATTATATTTACATGGCAGGTGCACATCCCTGGAACCACCGATGACTTTCACTGACCATTTTAGACATCCAAGAGAAAATCCTGCATTTATGTGGCTGGGAAGTGTTGGTCAGAACTTGTTTTCAACTGGTTTTTGGTTACATGCTTAACAAAACTGTGATTTCTAGGTGACGCTTCCTAGATTTAATCTCGGCTAAAATTCTGAGAACGTTTAAATGAAAAATTCCTTTGCTACATTTGTATTACAGATATGAGATAACCAACACCTTTTTTTCCCCCTTTCTTTTAATCGCACAAAGAAAAGCATCCAGACTTTTCAGCAGCAATTTAAAATTGGCGGGGGAGGATGTTTTGATGCCACCATTCAGTTGGGAATGGAATTTGGTGCACACAGAATTGGTGATAGAATTTTAGATATGGAAGCTCCCTTAGATTTCATCATCTAGTTCAACCTGTTCATTTTATAGCTGAGAAATTGAAAACTGGGGAAGTGAAGTGACATCCCAGGGGTCACCTAGCTAGTTAGCAGAGGGGCTGGGACCAAACCCAGGGCTTCTGAGTTGCAGTCTGAATTCTTTCAGCTCATTGCATATTTAGAACACAGAGCAAAATCTGTCAGTCATTTATGAACTAACTCCTAATAATAAAATGCGACTTATCCTGCATTTAGAAGGAAGCAGCACAGTCATAATGGGGGTCCTTTCGAATTTCTCATTCATTCATTCCTGTGGGTTAAATTGGTGATGTTCTGTCTTTGTTTTAATTTTTATTAGATTTATTGGGGTGACATTGGTTAGTAAAAGTATATAGGTTTCAGGGCCGGCCGAGTGGCGCGACGGTTAAGAACTCGCTTGGGATGCCAGAGTGCCCCGGTTCGGATCCCACATATGAGGGCCAGTGACACTGCCCTCCACAGCTAAGATGCTGAACAACGGCTCAACCTGGAGCTGGGCTGCTGTGAGTCGCCGGCGACAGCGTGGGCTGCAGTCCCTGTGGCAGTGGGTTACCATGGGCTACCGTGTGTAGCCAGCAGCCGGCGTGTGTAGCCAGCAGCCAGCGTGAGCGGCCAGCAGCCGCAGTGAGCGGACGTCCAGAAGCCGGCGACTGATCTGCCTCACCTGGGAAGAGCGCAATGATGGTGCCAACTTGGGCCAGTGAAGCAACATCCTCCACAACTAGACTGAAGAACAAAAACGACAGCAACTTGTCTGTCCCCTTTCCCCCAATTCCCCAGCACTGTTCCCATCCCCCCAATTCACCAATAAAAATCTTTAAAAAAAAAAAAGTATATAGGTTTCAGGTGTACAATTCTGTAATACATCATCTATATATTGCATTGTGTGTTCACCACCCAGAGTCAGTTCTCCTTCCATCACCATATATTTGACCCCCTTTCCCTCTTCTACGCCTCCCTTGTTGTTTTACAGGGCACTTGATGGGGAAAAAGAGCACAGGAGAGACCCCGTATGTTTACAAAGGAGGGAGCTTGAAGCAGCAGCTGCCGGAGTACATTTTGTGGGAAGAAGCTGCGAGGAATTTGCTCAGCCTCATAGAAGCAAAGGGGACCAGGAGCCATCAGTCACCTCCAAGGGGAGCCCCTGGGTATTCGCCAGTGTACTTGGGATTCCAAGATTAGCAGCAACTTTAAAGAGGTGGGTTCAAGACACAAAGTATGTATAAGGAACCTACTGGAGAAGTAGGGGAGGGGTGGGGTGGGGTGAGGGTGGAAGGTGTTTAGGGAGAGTTGGAAGGAGAGGAAGGTCCAGTAGGGGAGAATAAAATTGTATACGACTCAAGCCTTCACAGCCATCACATTCGGCTGACACCAATACATGCCGAGGAAATGAGTAGACAATTCCCATGCTCTTTTCTTTTCAACATAATAGCTTATTTTTCCTCTTAGCACATCAAAGTGGTGTTGATTCAAACCTCCATTGTAGGGGTTTTATTAGCAATTGTGCATTGATGGGATTTTTACAAATCTGCCAGTTCCTACCAGAATATTTTGATAGTGGGGCCATAGATTATTTGAGTAAATCCCTAGGGGTCTACAGCTACATTTACTTTTGATGAACACTTGGGAAAGGGACCTCTTCACGGATGTTTTTAGAAGAGAGCATTCTTGTTTGTGACCTTTTATGCAAAAAACAGCACTTCTTCATTTTTGTTCCAATGTTACTTAGTTCAGGTTCCATCCTAACATTTCAAACCTTAGTGAACATATCTTAGGGCAACAGATTTGTCCTACATATGATTTTACAGAGGATAGGGGAAAATAATCACACCAAGTTGGCATAGTGTAGATACAAAGGCAGTCAACGAGATAAAGGAGAGAATAAAATGTATGGGAAGAAAACGAGGCAACTGAAAACGAAGAGATTCTCATTAGCTTTTAAGACGTTTTCATGAAATTTATGATAAGAGGCAAAAATATATAACTGCAATACTAGAAATAAAAATAATAGCTATTTTTATTGAGTATTGACTATACCCCAAGTACTGGAAGAAGCAGTTTACTTCTTTTAATGCTCACAGCAGTCTTAGGAGGAAGATTCAGGAAGATTCTATCATTCTCTCCATTTTAGAGTCCCAGTGAGGAAAGTGAGATGGTCCTATAGCTTTTCACTGGTGAAACCAGGACAAGAGCCTGTGCTGTCCGCCTTGGATGGTCTGCTGCCATGACAGACATCTGGGAATGTCCTTAAATATGAAGGACGAAGGATGCATTAGCACCGTGGCTTCTCACTGTTTCTGATGCTAAATAATACTGCTTGTCACTCACAGAGCTGGCTCCTTCACTATTAACTCGTTGATTGGTGGCCCCTTCACAGAGGCTTGGAGGCTTTTCTGAGGGGAAGTTTTATGTTTCACTGCCCTTTGGTCCATTGTGAATTCTCTAGGCTAAAAACAAACTACAAGTTCATTGGTTGCATTAAGCACCTAGAGAGAATGTCTCTAGGAGCCCTTAAAAAAAAATCGTGATTACATCAACCAATACAGAAATGAGGACCAATTCTGTACGAAGCCTGAGTGAGATTCTCTTGCTCACACCTGTATGATAGGTGTCACAGGTGTTCTGTGACCAGCACACTTTTTATTGGTGGATCACATGGCTCTGAGGGCTCCAGGAATTTGGGATTGACTTCTCAGTGCCCGGCTGGCCAGGCCCTTTCTCGGTCAAGTGCCTTGGGGGACTTTCTGTGAGTGGATGTTTGACAGCAGTGCCTTCTATTTGTCTGAAGAGTAACACCAATCACCACCCCAAAACCCTCTAAAATAATTTTACATACGCTGGGCTTACCCTCATAGATCATTTCACAAAATACCCACACACACATACAAACAAGATAATCTATAGTGCCTCACCTTTGAATTAAGCAGCAATATCCACGTTGAGTTGCTTTCGCCTCCCAAACCTGGCTCTGCATAGCTCGGAATGTTTTGAAGAATTCAACTCCTTTCTCAAGGAGCAAAATTTCCCCCATGATATTCAGAAGAATATTCTGTAAGCTTGGAGGCAATTACAAAAAAATAGTTCCAAAAAGGTCTCTGAGTGACAATAGTATAAAATAGATTGAATGGGCCATCGCAGAGAGGGACTGCTCCAAGGGGACAATATTTATCAGTATTTAACGTCACCTGAAAAGAAAGTCACTTTTTTGTAAACACGTCTTGCTTGTCTACCGTATCTTTTTATGCCTTGTTCTTCTTTTCACAAGTTTAGGAAGCCCTCCTGTTTCATTCCACCTTAAGTTGAATAATTAGCTATTGCACACATTGGTACCATTCTTTTGAATGTATTTCCTGGGAATATGAAAAACCAATTCAACAGTTAGTTTCGTATTTGCATAGACCAAACAAAACAGCTTATCACTCCCCTTGCTTTGGAAATTCTGCCTCAATGAAAGTAGGTTGTTATGAAAATGGAAAACATCTTGCAGTTGTCTTATTCACAAAGAGGGCGTACCAAGGGAGCAGGTCTATTAGAAACCCATATATCTCTCAGTGTTAGAAAGAAGTTTAATAACTTAGCTAGGCATTGTGAGAATTAGCAGCAGTTTTCAGAAGCTGAAGGACATTTCTTTTTTTTATTTTTAAGATTTTTTTTATTTTTTATTGGGGAATTGCGGGAGGAGAACAGCATTGGGGAATTGGGGAAGGGGAACAGACAAGTCGATGTCCTTTTGTTCTTCAGCCTAGTTGTGGAGGATATCGCTTCACTGGCCCAAGTTGGTATTATCATTGTGCTTTTCCTGGATGAGGTAGATCGGTCACCAGCCATTGGACAGACACTCACAGTGACTCACAGCAGCTCACGCCGGCTGCCGGCTGCTCATGCTGACTGCCAGCCACTCACGGTAGCTTATGGCAGCCCACTGCAGCAGGGGCTGCAGCCTATGCCGTCACTGGCAACTCACAGCAGCCCAGCTCCAGGTCGAGCTGTTGTTCACCATCTTAGCTGTAGAGGGTGCAGCATCATTGGCCCTCATGTGGGATCCGAACTGGGGCCCTGCTGCTCAGAGCTGGCGTCCCAAGCCAACTCAACCAACGCGCCACTCAGCTGGCCTGGAAGGACGTTTCTTAAAATTAAAACCTGTCCACATCTGCCTTCCTCTCCCACTTTGGTAATAAGACATCAAGTCCTGTTGCCAACTCTCCCAGAGCTGCAGTTAGTAATGCTGATGCTTCAATGACAAAGATATGGACTTAATTCAGAAAAGATCTGTGTAAATGTGTACGGAATCTAGACTATGATATAATGGCAAACGAGCCCCAGAATTTTATCAGCAATTATGGCCAATCATTTCCAAGGTTAACCTTCATCTTTCTTTTAACTGTATCCTTCTTACAAAAATTAGTGGAGCTTTCACCTTATGGTTTCTATAACACAAAACAGTGATTGGGTCAGCTCCAGGGCCTAACCCATAATCCTGGATATGGCTGGGGATTGTCCTGCGTTTCCATAGAGGTTGAAGTTGGCTTTTGGGTTCCTTCTGTAATTTGAACTCAGTCCAATTGCTGTTTGTAGCCTTAGGTCTTTTCTCTTATTTAGTGGACATGAGGAAAGGGACATGGGGAAGGCACTGCCAAGGGTGTTACAGAACAGAAGGAAATGTGCAAGTTTGCCCTCACTTTTAAGGGACTGCTTCCACCGTCCCATCACATCAGTACAGAGAATACAAAGGTTTTACTTCCTAATACTCTGAAATGCTCTGAGGGAACCTCCAAATATAGGACAAGCAACATGCAGTCAAGAATAACTAAAAGTCCTCTGACTACCCTGACAGTTTCTGTGAAGGAGCAGAGGAAAGTGGGCCCCCACTACAAATACAGCTTCTCCCCACCCCCACCTCCAGGTCCTTGATCTTCCTAGGAAACACAAGTCTTCTCTTCTTTGTAGCTTTACTTCCACTCCCTTGAGCCAAAATGCTTGGATTCAATATTTTGAGCCAATGGGAGGGTTCCATGGATCCTTTCCTATATCCTCACTGGCCCCTTTTATGACCTGCGGCTCTAATGCAAGGTGGATGGCGGCATCTTCAGGAAGGCTGATGACCCTTAATAACACAGCCTAGGCTCATGGAGAAAAGCCAAGCTAATTAGCCTGTGTGGGAATTGAACTCAAGGCCTTGGCCTCATTAGCACCCGGTGAAAACAATTGTGCTGCAAGGCAGGTGAAAACTGGCCTGAGAAGATCAGTCATTCCTTCATTAGGCACAAATGGCTGGTCTGGATGGTGGGAGGCCTGAAAAGCCAGAAAATCTTGGAAAGAGTAATAAGCTCTAGTTTGGACAAAAAGTATCTTCGTACCTCAGCAGGTAAAGGGTGCTATATGGGAACAAAGAAGTATTTTTAAATCACAGCTACTCATTCTTTCTTCAGTCTAAACTTGAACAGAAGGCAAAACAAGCAAGCCACAATAAATTTAGATTTGGCACAAACCCAAATTAGCTTCTCTTCCCAAGTTGCCCACACTACTACCATTTACAGTCATGGGTTTATGATGTGTAATTGTATAATTCACAAGCTGGCTTTGACTTGTGTAACAAGGCATTGCCAAAATGAGCCAAGTAAGAATTAAGATTTCACATCTCCTAATAGTCCCCCTACCCAGCTGCTACTTTAGTGACAAGTCCTAGGGATAATGCATTTAATTTCTAACATTAATCAAATATACCTGAGTCATATCGGGATACAAATTAAGCTAATATAACCAAAAGACCCCAAAATGTAGTGGCTCCCCAAAAAGAGGGAGTTCATTTCTCTCTCTGGGACATGCGTGTTTCTCAAGCATTAATGTGCTGAGTCAGAATTACCTGGGGGCCCCGTGAAAGCACAGATCTCTGGGCCCCAAGCTGGGAGTTTCCAACTAAGTAGGTCTAGGTGACCTAGGAATTTGCCTTTCTAACAAGCTCCACGTGATGCTGGTGGTTTTGGGGAAATGGATTTACTTCAAATATTGGACTTTACTATCTTTGCTTAACTCCTACTAAGATGATGATTTCTCTTTTCCAGGTTCTGAACATGAAGGAAGGAACTCCCAGCTGAACTGACAATGACAATGACAGCCTCTCTCAAGCAAAACAAAACCCTGAAGAGACTGCGTTCCAAGGGTATCAATTCAACGGGATCATTAACAAGATTTCGTGTGTGCAAAATACTTAACTATTCTTGTACCTTTCAACCTTGACTAAATTCATGATTTCCAAGCAGCATCGTCTGCTTTGAACTTGTTTTGTTGTGGGTAATTGTCTGTTAAGAGTCTTCCAACTGATGCTTTTCACATCTAGGCTATGTGTCAATTACATTCCAGTCCTCGACCTGCTACCATTCACAATAAAAGCTTAAACACATTGTCCAGGGCAGGTAGTTCTCTTATTTCAATTCCAAATGAGAGGACAGTGTGGCAGAGATTAAGAAATAGCTTGATAATTAACTTGTGTGCTCATTGATGAAGGCAGGCTGTTCTCCCCTCTGAAGACCCCTTCCTGAATCCTTGTTGTGACTTACAGCCTTTCTAGAGGCTACTGTTAGAAGCTTACTCTCTCTATCATTACCATTAGATGCACTACGTTGAAAGTAGGGGCCTCGTTCATCACTTAATAGTTCCCATTTCTTCAGCCCTAACCGTGACCAGATATTTTCCTGATGTGATTGGTATTCTCCTCATAACAGTTTGACGAGCTGAGAATAAACATTCTTGCTTAAAGAAGGAAACAGAGGGTTAGAGAGGTCAAGTGACTTGCCCAAGGTCACATAGTAGGTGGAACTGGGATTCAAACATCCAAAGATTGCTCTGCAGCATTTAACACTTTCTACATTGCCTAATTTTAAGTCTCCCTTTCAGTATATTTAAATAGAACCATTTCTTCAAAATTTCATTTTCAGTCTTGGAGGAGAAGTAGTTTCCACAGCCAGATTTAGTCTGATCCACGGCAAAAGGCGACAATGATTTCAAGAGATTCCCTTCCACTTTCGGAGAACATGGCCTAGTAGTTTGTAACAACACTCACTAATTCCATTTTTATCATGACATTCACACGTTTACAGACTTTAAAGCTTCGTGCCATATGCTTTGATTTCCTTCATTTAGAGAAATCACATTTGAAACAGTAAAGAGATTCACCTTGCTCTTGTTTTTATTGCCGAAGAACCACATAAAATGTGCTGTGTTCTTTCTAATTTCTTTTAAAACCATGTGGATTCACAACTGACACAGAGCCAGACCCAGAGAAACATATGAAATGTTTCAGTGTTTTACCACCTTCCACTTCTTGGGACCCCCCTGGCACTCTTGCCCAAGAACTTGATCCTGAACTCTATCAGCTACAGTCTGCCACTCAGCTAACGAAGGAGTAAGCAATATCTGAAGGATTTGCCCTCCAATAAGACACTCATGATGGTGGCATTTCCATCAAGGAGAGAAAGGCAATGCTCCTAGAATAACCCCGTCTAGACTGTCACTTGTTGGGCTGTCTCATGAGAGTAGATGTGATCCTGTGTTTTAGCTGCAATCATTTTTTTTCTCCATGAGTTTTGCCTGAGAGACCAGAACAGCTCACTCAAACCTCCCAACCCTTGAAGGGCTCCTCAGTACCAAGCCCAGGTCAAGATTAGAATCCCTTGATTTAAGAGCTTTCTTGCACCCTTGTTTGCAAGTGGAGTCCCGTTGCATGTCTGTGTGTGCCTGTTGGGTGAGGTCATGTTTAGCTGTAGATAACAGGATCCACCTTGGGTTGAGCAGGAAAGGAAGACTTTAAGAGAGCATAGTGGACAGGAAAGACCAGAAAAATGGCCTCAAGGCTGAACTTGCATGTTCAGTGCTCAAAGCCAGGCCTCTGACTTGACAAGACGGCAAGTGCACACGTTGCTACCCCTAAAGCATTCCACACAACTGCCTGAGTTGGCACCGTCTTCCAAGGCTTCACCACTCACTACCTGTGCCCACAGCTTTATGTCATCCAAAAGCCTCTTCTGCTCTGGGCTTACTTTCAAATCAGTTTTGAATGTCTGTGTCTGATTGGTGGAACCTAAATCACATGCCTGTATCTAGTTGTAAGGAAAGCTTGGAAACAGAGTTTTTGAGATCCTACTTTAGGGATATGGGACTAAAATTGTGGAACCCTATCAAAAAGAAGAGAGGGTGTTCTAAAGATGCGGTCAGCCACAAACAACATACGTCCCTGGCTCTTTTGCCCTCAAAAGAATTGCCTTGTGGATTTCTGCCCATTCTTATTCTAGAGAACAGTTGTAATAACATGCAGCTTGGGATTCTGGGAAAGCAGGAGCCTGGTGTGTGTGTTCTTACAGCACATGGACCAGGATAATCAGGAGGAAGAACCCAAAAGGGAAGAAAGCAATAACTGCCTTCAATTTGTTCTTTTAAAAGCACAGTCTTTTTTATTATTTATTTTTTTAAGTGCTACAGGGTGGATTGCTCTGGGTAATTTGGCAGTCTTTGCTTATGATCAGAGAGGTTCTGTAACACAACAAGCAGGCAATTCAAGCAGCACAGTGCGATTCCCAGCCACACAATGCCCACCTTTCAGGTCCTACTGGGGATATTTGATCACCACAGAGCATTTTTTTTTTTTTTTACCCAGCTCAAATGCGTAGGGAGTAATTGAAGTAAAATGTGGGATTAACATTATTCATTTTCTCAGCCACAGGCTCCTTTAATCAGACTCTGTGAAGTAGCATTTCAAGGGACCCACAAGGATGAGCTATTGCCATGCCCTGAGCCAAAGGACCACGGTCAATGAGAGCACTGAAAATGCTCCTAGTTTCTCCTTTTGGGGCTTCGTGTATTTCACTTAGTCACCTCCTTAATTAGACCCACAGAAACACCTCTCTATTTGCCCCCTCGTTTTCCTTCCACTATACTTGACCCACATACTTCGCATAATACGTGGGCTGATTGACAAATAGGTAGATCTCACCATGGGTGGATTGAGGGAGTCTTCAGGAAGACGACCAGAGTGTCTCAGTCCTCCACTTGGTCACTGTAACCACGCCCTGCCCTGGTTTCTCCACCAGGTGGCTCTCCCCCAGCTCTGTCTCCAGAGGCCCCCAGGGGTGGCCTCTCTTCTCGGGGTCAGGCTGTACTCTTGCTCCTTGGAGGAGAAAATGCCACCCTTCTACACTCCTGCAGTGGCTGTGGTGTTAGAGCACAAAACACACGTTCCCTGTTTGAACTTGCTGTTTTGTTCTTGCCATCATTAAATTACTCTGGTGAGCATTCCACTTTTGGCGTGCTTGGTGAAATCAGACAAGGAATAAAAATTGCTATTGTGGATGGGGGTCGGGTGGGTGGAGTGAGCACAGGAAAGGAAACGGAGGCTACATGGGTTCATTTCAGGCCATAAAAATACAGAGTTGCTTAAAAGAGCCCATCTCTTCCATACCAGCCTTCTCCATCTTTGCTCTTTCCTTGAAAAGACCAGGATTCTCCACAGAGTCACAAAGATTGATTTGCTGCCAGGATTTATGAATCAGCTGAAGGGAGAAGGTTCAAGTCCTGATTTTATTTTATTGTCAAATTGTTAAAACAGAGCCTGCCTCCACGTGAGAAGAAATGTTTATATGCCAGATGAACAACAACAGGTGGGTTTTTTCTTGGGCCTTTTCCTCATCTTAAAGACTTTGTTCTCTTTTATCAATTAGCTGGATTTCCATTCTTTAAGAGCATATGTTGCATAAGTGTTGATTCATCTCTTTCTTGGTTTCTTAGTTTCTTCATTTCTAAAATGAGAACAATGATATTATGTTTGTTGCTTCTTCAGTGCAATCCAGCTAAAAGCCGTGATCTGTCTACCTCTTTTATGTCCTTCCCAAGAGTGTTGTCCAGTTTATTTTAATTCATCTTGTAAGAGACATTTAAATATTAAAATTACACTTTGAGCATGATTATTATATCATTCATTTTTTTAAAAATCCTCGTTTGCTTCCTAACTTACTTGGTCCTAAGAGTTTTTTAATGTGTATTTTTAAATATGAAAATCTACTCTGATGTTAATTATTTAGTTTATTACTTCCAAATATGGGATTTCCCCTATTGACTTACATTGACAGTGGATAACCCAGACCCTCTCCTTTGGGAAAATGGGGCACTCATGAGTTGTATCTGTATTGATTAGGGATTGTGCTTAGATACATGTAATAAAGCAAAACAAAACAAAATGTCTGTGCCTTAAAAAAGATAGAGATTTGGTTTTCCCTCCTATCATAAGAAGTCTAGGAGCTAGCAGCCCAGAGCCAGTGCGGTGATCCAAGGATTCAGAGCCAAGATCTTTATGATTTTCTTAAATTTTCCTTCATAATCAGTCACAGGATGGCTGATGCAGCTCCAGCCACCACATGCCAACTTCATCCAGGAAAAAGAAAAGCAAACAGAAGAGGGTGGGGGCCTGCCTATATCATGAAAGCAAAGCTTTCTCAGCAATCCTTAGCCTTTGCCTTTGGGGCAGAACTGTGTCACATGACCAGTTCTAGCAGCAAAGGAGGCTGGGAAATGTAGTTTTTTTTAGCTGGGCACGTTGCTCAACATCCCCCTCCCTCAACATCCCTCCCCCAAAACATGTTTTTCTTAATAAGAAAAAGGAGAGGATGAATATTGGGTAGGCAATGTTTGCTATGCCAGCTATTATACGATTGAATCTGGGAAAGAATGAAGCTGGAACTAGTGGGTCTTAAGCCTGACATGACTGGAAGACGCCTAGACAACAGGTCTCCATGTTTAATACGAGTTATTCTGCCCCACGTCCCTTCTGACTGTTGAGTCCCAGAAAACCATGGTTTACAGACAGTATGCTTTCTTCATGACCTCACCTATTCTTCATATTTGAAAACAAAGGACTGTAATAGAGATCATGTTTTGTTGATTGGAAGTCACCTTTAATTTCTAAAAGTAAACACAAGATATGATACTTTCTAAATAGTCATGTGCTGCTTAACTGATGATGGGGATGTGTTCTGAGAAACTCGTCATTAAGCAATTTCGTCATTGTGGGAACATCATAGAGTACATTCACACAAACCTAGATGGGATAGCTACTGCACTCTCCTAGGCTCTATGGTAGAGCCTACTGCTCCCAGGCTACAAACCTATACAGCACGTTACTGTAAAAAAACGACAAGATTAAGTCAAGCAGAAGAGAAAATGATGCCATCAAGAGATGAGGTAAGCAAGAGAGATGTACAAGGCAGCTGCAAGCGTAACCCAGCATACTATGTACAGCAAACTTTGTTTTTACAAGTAGAAAAAGTACACTCTAAAATAATGATAAAAAGTATAATATAGTAAATACATAGACCAGTAACGTAGTTGTTTCTTACCACTAGCAAGTAGTATGTACTCTACATGATTACATGTGCTTTACTTTTATACGACTAATGGTGCAGTAGGTTTGTTAACACTGGTATCACCACAAACACATCAGGAATGCATTGTGCTTTGACTTACAGCAGCTAGAATGTCATGAGGTGACAGGGATTTTTCAGCTCCATTATAATCTTACGTGACCACCATTGTATACGTGGTCCGTAGTTGACTGAAATGTCGTTATTCGGATAGAAAAGGGACTATTTTGTAGACCTTCAGGAATGAACATTGTAACAAACTTTAGCTGATCGTAACAGAAAACCCTCCACTCAAATTGGTATAGAAGATTTAAAAGAAGGTACTGTCTCATATACAAGAAACCCAGAGGGTAGTAGGGTTCAGGGTTGTTTAGTTCAATTTAATTCAGTGACGCCAATATATCTTCAAGTATGATGGCCTTTCCGTTTTCCCACTCTGCCATCGTTGGTTTGGATTTGTCCTTATGCTGATCTCTCTCATGGTCTCAAGATGGCTGTTGGAGTCCCAGATGTCACATCCAGACAAGGTAACATTCAAAGGACGAAGAGAGGTCATCTCTTGTTAGGCTTCACTTTATTACTACTGATAAGTTTTTTCCCAGAGGCCTCTCAATCCCGCAGCCTTCAATGACCAGCTGAGCCACAGGCTTGCCCTCAACCTGTCACTAAGGAAAGGGAGTCAGATCACGGTGACCTCACCCAATTAGGATTTACCAGTGAGTCATGTGGGAAGAGGGGCAGAGACCTAAACAACATCAAGGGTCTCCCAGTGAGGCAGGAGCATGGAATTCATTTGAAACGGACTTCCAATGGCATTAGCAACAAGCGTGAAAGTAATTTCACGAGCTTTAAGACCACTCATCCTTAAGAGCTTGTCTGTTTCTCTTGCTCAAGCACTGATGCTGTGATTTGGTTTGGAGGCTGCTCCTCTGTCCTGTTTGGGCTTCTCTCATCCTTTACTCCTCTCTTTGCCTTGCAAAACTAGTGGCCGTTCCTGTAACCACATAATTGCTCCTCTGACTCCACTGCTGAAATAAACAGAAATGAAAAAAGAAATAGAGAGCTTCAAATTGTGCTATCCTCCGCCTGACCATTTCCCAAGATGCCTCAGCTAGAGACAGTCTAAATGGACAGGCTGGGGGTTGAACTTGAATTAAAAAAAAAAAAGAAAAAAAAGCCCAGGCCAGATTGTAGCTTTTTCTTCCCACTTAACAAAGTGAATAATGTGAAAAACCACTTATCTTAGTAGTCAAGAATTGGCAGCCTGCTGGTCAGATGCCGCCTGTAGACGTGCTGTTTGCCGGAGCAGTGTCTTAAAAAATTAGAGTTAGTCACAAGGTTTTAAAAATCAAGGGATTTCACATACAAATCCAGGTTGCAAGCTTTTGCAACATTGGAAGACCTGCTACTGGGCCTGCTTTATTTTATTTTATTATTTTATTTTATTTTATTTTATTGGGGAACAGTGTGTTTTCCCAGGACCCATCAGTTCCAGGTCAAGCAGTTGTCTCAATCTAGTTGTGGAGGGTGTAGCCCATGTGGGAATCGAACTGGCAACCTTTGGTGTTATGAGCCTGCGCTGTAACCACCTGAGCTAACCAGCTGCCCCTGGGCCTGCTTTCCCCTGAAGACAACCAGGGCCTGGCGCTGCCCCTGTGAATGGGGCTCAGGTTGTCCACTTTGTCACAGCAATGCCTGTGACAAACACAGGCACACCCTAATGCCTGCCCCTGCCAGCTTTATTTGTTTACATTACCTGCCTCCCTACTCTAAGCGTGGAGCTGATGATGCCAGTTTAACTGTTACATGTGTCTGGGGTAAAGGGATTACTGCACAGTTGGTTCGACCATATTTTTAAACTCCTGCTCACGCTTGTGCTTCTCTAGCTGTGTGTGCAGTGTTTTAGAAGGGTTTTGCCACATAATATGTGCTCTCCTGGCTGATTTTAAAGATTCACTCCTTCCCCAGCTGGTCACTGGAATAAGGAAGAAAGCCTGTTAAAGAAGAGGCAAAATTGCTAGGCAGTGCCATTCACTCTGAAAAGCTCCTGGGGAGCCGTTCTTAATAAGTGAACAGGGCCAGAATAGAATCTAGCACACATCAGACCATCTGTTCCCAGAGACTCCTTGGCGGAAGCTCTCACCGTCTTTTGAAACCAACCAAACAGCCTGTTCTATGTAGAATCTTGCTGAGCTCCTGTGGTCTGTGTGGTCAGACCCCAGGTTGATCTCCCTCCGCTCTGCTTTCATCTGGTTTTATGGCACTTTATGTGTTTGTGAGACGTCTGAAGGCACAGTTCTCATAGAACCCACCGATCGTTACTTAGAGATTTTAATGTCACGAATAACCATTTCCACTGGTCTCTGGATAATGACATTGAGGGATTGAACTTGCACGAAGGCTCCAAGAGAGTCCATGTAATTTTGATAGGTGAAATGTTGGGGGTCGAAGAGGGAGGGGGGAAAGAAAGGAGAGAGAGAGAGAGAGAGAGAGAGAGAGAGAGAGTCATGTGAAGTGAAAATCTCTTTGTCATATTTTAAAGACACCCATAAATGTCCGTGTCCAATCCCGACCCTGGTAGGGCGGTGGAGGGCACGGGCTCCCCTCCATCCCTCCTAACTCTTGCCTGCTTGCTAAGTGGCTGGGCTTCATGGTTGATGTGTTCCCTCTCCTCTGGACCCTGTGGGCTGACTTTCTTCACTTGGGGTTGGCCAAAAGCAAAATAGGCAATCCCAGCCACCGGCCACTTAAACAAGAAGCAATTTATTACTTTACTCTTAAAGGAACGTGTTACAGGTGTACTGGCAAGTCAGGTGACACTAAGATTCCCACGGTGGCCCTGGTGCCCCACCAGAGTCACTCAGAGCCTGCCTCATTTCTGGCACTGCTGGGTAAGCCCGGGGTTTCCAGAGTGTCATCAAGGAAAGGAAATTCGTGGCACAGACATGATTGCTGAGATGACCAATGGATTTCGCTTCTAGTAGACGTTAACCAAGATTTTTAAAATATCTTTTGTGTGTGTGTGAATTTCTCTTTTTAGCATTATAAAGCCCCCCCATTTTTTTTCATAGGCAAGATATACATTTATTAACAGTGAAAAAGCATTTACCGAAGTGAACATTTCAAAACACAAAGAAAACCTGCACAGTTTGGTGAGGTCACTAACTCAGGTATTATCTCAACCTGTGTAGGGTTCTTCTCACTCATTTTGACCTTTTTCTCCCTCTTTTTATCTCTAACCAGTTATTTTTATTTTATTTATAAATGAAGACAAACAAGGGTATTTAATGCCTAACTCTTTAGCAATAGCTGCTAGGGAAACATGTTTGAAACAAGTTATCTGCTCTCAAGCCCTAGGTATTTTAAAACTTCCAAGATTTACT